CGTCTGAACGGGCACTGGGATACGTCAGAGGGCTCCCATACTATCGCGGCAACTCTTGGACGCATGTTGGGGGGGGGGTCCGTCTTAGGGGTATCGTGCAGTCGCTTTGGAACCGTCTTCGGTCCATCTTGGGCCGCCATGGTGCTTTCTTGTTCAGGACTGGGCTCTCGCTGTCCTCTCATCAGCTTCTATGACCAGCTTCTGCTGCGCGGAGGGACCCTGCCTCGTCGGCTCTGATTTCGCTCTCCAGAACTGTCTGGCCACATCTACGGTTAGGTTGGGCATGTTCCCCTACAGGCGGTTTTTCGAGCGAAAAAATAGAAGTAGTCGAACATACCCAAACATACACAACAATAATCAGAACATCGCCCCATACTTTTTGACTATTGTTGAATATTCCTCCTAAAATCCACGGCTTCCTCTCGAGATCGCTTTCTTCCTTCTCCTCTGGCCGTTGCCCTAGGACTCCTTCCTTCTTCCCTCGCTTCGCTTCCATCCTTTTCTCTTCTTCGCCCTGGGATCGCCTGCGCACTCTTTCAAATTGATCCGCGCCCCAGACATAATCGCTCTTGCGGGAGGCGCGCTGCTGAAAGGCGACCACTTTTGCGGAACAGAAGCGAGAGGTTCCAGGCTCAACCGCGTCGGCCGTTCATGAAGTCAATCACGCTGGTCCCACCGCAGTGGTGGAACCGCTGCGAGAGGTTTTGGGTTCCACCGCGTCGGGCACTCATGAAAGTATACACACAGGCACAACACTGAATGCGAGGATCGAGGAACAAAAAGCGGAGGCGAAACCAACAACGGCAGACATGAAAACACGAGAACACTGCCACTGCAATCTCACAGTCGGGATGACCCACGCAACATTTGTTTTGCAGACCGTCCAACCCTCACGCGGGAGGAAGTAGCGGTTAGTATCCCGCCAGGAGAAGCAACGATCGGGAATCGGGAGCAAGGCCCATCCTTGCCGATACGAGCGAATGGGGGAAGAAGAAGGAGAGAAGAGGAACAAAACGAGGGAAGACACGGAAATTACGATCACCAGAACCTGGAAATCCAGATTTCGGGTTTTCGGCCAGGCCCCGTTTCAAAAACCCGGAAATCTGGATTGCGGGGTTCCAGCCCCGCCCTTCCATCCCCCCAAGGCGCGACCGTTTCTCATCTCCTCGTCCTCCCTTCCTCCTCCTCCTCCTCCGCCTGACCCTCCGCCTCCTCCTCCTCCTCCTCCTTTTCCTCCTCCTCCTCTTGGGCCATTCGGGACCCTCTCCGGGGACCCAGACAGGCCCAGGAGGGACTCAAGAGCGGCCCAAGAGAGCTCCAACAGGGTTCCACGAGGACCCGAAGAGTATTGCATGATCGTGACATGGCATGATCATGCAATACTCAGCGGGTTTCTCTTGGAGCCCTCTTCAGGCCCTCTTCGAACCCCCTGGGGGCCCCTTTCGGAGCCTTCTCCCGTGCCCAAGGAGGCCCAAGAGCCCCCCCCTCCTTCCCCCCCCTCCTCCTCCTCCTCCTCCTCCTCCTCCTCCTCATCCCTCCTCCTCCTCCTCCTCCTCCTCCTCCTCCTCCTCCTCCTCCTCCCGAAACTCTCTGGGGGGTGCTCTTGGGGGGCCCAGGGGGGCAACTGAAGGCTCTCTGAAGTCGTCATGAGCCTCCGGGGTCCCAAACGGCCCCAAGACAATTTCAAGAGAGGTTCAAGAGAGCCCTCGAAGGCGTTGAAGAGGGGCCCCAGAGGGCCCAATAGGCGCCGAAGCCAGGCCCCTCTTTGGGCCCAAGAGGGCTCCACGAAAGCTCCAAGAGAGCCCCATGAGGAGCGGGGGGGGGATAGGAAGGAATGGCGGGGGGAGAGAAAGAGAGAGAGAGAGAGATATATATATATATAGAGAGAGAGAAAGAGAGAGAGAGAGAGAGCGAGAGAAAGAGAGAGAGAGAGAGAGACGGAGAGACGAGGGAGAACGAGAGAGGTATAATAACACATAAGGGGGAGAGAGAGAGAGAGAGACATACATACATATATACATACACACATATACATATATATATATGTATAGAGAAAGAGAGAGAGAGAGAGAGAGAGAGAGAGAGACATCATATGTGACTGTATGAACATATGTGCGTATATGTATAAAACGAGATATGGACTCCAACACGACGCATTTTTTGTTCAGCAGTTCTGAAAGGGTATGGTAAGGCAGTAACGAGCCATACTAACCAGAGCACGCAACAGAAAACCACGACATCCTTCTCTTTTGGAACCAGGCAGTAGAGGCAGTAGAAACAAACTAACATTCTTCTCCTTAAAAGGGGGGTACGCATTGTCTCTGCTACGCAGTCTGCGTCGCCAAGAGATCTGGCGGGGGCGGATTTATAACGACGTGCACCTGGAACAAAAATGACGCGAAGTGCAGAATTCCAACAACTCCCACTCCCCCCCGAGTTACTTCAGAGGGAGAGCGGGAATACTTACTCCCCTTTTCTGAAATTACTGCCGCTCCCCTACTTCCGTTCCCGTCCCCCCCCATTCCTGACTTAACCCGCGTTCATTTTACCTACGACAGCGCACAGAAGCAATAACGTAAGCTTACATGTTTGCTTCCATCATGGTTCCTTCATCCCGTTGTCCCTGCTCTCTGTGGTTCCCCCCTCCTCGACTTCATCCCATTCCTCCCCATTCTGATTCCATCTCCCCGGGGCCGCGCGCGAAACTTTCGCGCGTGGTCCCAGGGACGGGAGCAAGATGAAGCTTTCATCTTGCGTTCGTGACGAACACAACACGGAGGTTCGTGGTAGTGTGCTCCTTCTCGCTAGCGCAACAGGCGCACCAGGTGCACCCGGGCACGCAGGGGCACGCTGGGCAGGCTACCAAGGCACACCAGGGCGCACCGAACCAAGGCACACCTTCGCATAGCGGGCGAGGCATGCGCACTCACCACGCCAGGAATAGCCCAAGCACGCTCAGCACATCAGGTGACACCAGGCGACGTCTGCGTCAAAACCCCGATCCCCCAGAGCGGCACGAAAACCTTACACCCAGTGAAACAACACAAGTGGGCCAATCTGCGGACTTCCCCGAAAAACGCTTTAATTGTTTTGCGAACGCTTCCTGCTTCAAAAACAACAATCTGATACAGGAGAAACGCGTGGGATAATTTGAATCTCCGATTGCCCCCCCCCCCCCCCCCATTTTGGTGAAAAGGTGCTTTGAATCCCACCTGCTGGGTCCATCCCGGGAGGGCCCCTGGGGCAAGGCAGGATCCGCCCCACTGCCTCAGGGATACACAACACCCCTTGACCCAAACCCCAGAAGCCCGTGATCTGCAACCCCCCTCCTGTTCCTTGCCCTCCTTACCAATATCATGATTTCTTCCTCGGCCCCTATTCTGCCTGGCAAGGCCTCCGCCTCATGGGGCAACGGACACATCGGCCCATTATGTCGCGCATTATGCTCCTCACTCTGCCAGAGGAGAGGCGCGGATGCTGGTTCTGGTTTTCTCTCTTTTTTCTGGTTGAGCGGAGCGGAAACAGAAAAACCGTAAACACCATATTTGGGAGATCTGCTCCAGGTACCCAACGGGAGAACCAGAAAAACCAGAAGAACTAGAAACATCATAGGAAACAACGCTTTTTGGTTTTCTGTTTTTTCTGGTTGGGCGGCGCGGAACAAGACAACCCTATAGTATAGTGCTTCTGCTTTTTCTGGTCGTTCTGCTACTCGCCTGGCCAGGGGAGAGGATTATTCTCATTGAGCGGCGCTGAGCAAGAGAAACAGAACAGCAACATTGGGAGATCTGCTCCAGCAGGGTACCCAACGTGAACGTATGACAAACCAGAACATACACCAAACACATCGCAACCAGACGAACTAGCCCCCCTCCAACAAAAACGCAGATTATGTGTTTTTTTGTTCGATTCCTCTGCTTCTCACCCGGCCAGGGGAGAGGCACGGATGCTGACTCCGGTTTTCTGTCTGTTTCTGGATGGGCGGCGCAGCACCAGAAAACATAAAGAACCAATCCTGGGAAACCTGCTCCAGCAAGGTACCCAGCGGGAGAGCCATAAACAACAAAAATCACACAACAACCAAACCATCATCTAAGTTTCTGGTTTGTTTGGTTTGGCGGTACGGAACCTGAGCAACAAACAAATAACCACATATCATGCTGTTTCTGTGCTTTCTGGTGTTTCTGGTCGTTCTGCTCCTCCCACGGCCAGAGGAGAAGTGCGGATGCTGATTCTGGTTTTCTATTTTTCTGGTTGAACGGCGCTGAACCAAACACACACACAAACACATTATTAGAAGATCTGCCCCAGCAAGCTTTCCGGCGGGAAATCCATAAACGCCATAAACAAACCAGACTAACCTGAATCTGGTGTTCTGGTTGTTTCTGGTTGGGCGGCGCGGAACCCAAACAACCACTGAAAACAGTGTACTATGTTGCTTAAGCGTGTTGTATTTCGCATGTGAGAAATATACACCCCTAAGGGGGTACGATCGAAGACGAAGAGGGCGGGTATCGAGGGTTTGTGATATGCATGTTGAATGATGGCACGCGAACAAATATTTAGACTCCCGAAATGGGTACGGCAGACATGGGTACAATGCCCAACAACAAATGTCGTCCCAAACCAACAGCGGTCGCCGTTGGGCAGGCGGCCGTTCGTTTCACATGGACACAGGCCGTGGCGGCGCGGACAGCGAGTCCTGTTCGAAATGAACAGGAACTGCTGTTGGGCATTGTACCCATTTTTTCTGTACCCATTTCGTTCGTGCTGGAAATAGGAGCGAACCGTCTGAACATTATTGTTATTGTTGTTGTTGTTGCAACTGTTGTTGTTGTTGCAATGCTTGTTGTTTGTTATTTGTTGTCGTTGTCCCACCCGGGAACCGGCCCGCGACCCACCCGCGGCCCACCCACGACCCACCCCGCGCCCACGTGCGACCCACCCGCGACTCACCCGCGACTCACCCGCGACCCAGCCCGCGACCCACCGCGCGACCCAGCCGCGATCAACCCGCGACCCACCCACATTGCTTTAACCACAAAGTCGGCATCTGCGACGGGCTCGTTGCGCAATTTGTCAAACATAAACGCCTGCGGCAGGGTTCTTCAGAGCCTCGCAGCCAACGTCCCCGCCGCCCCCCTACTCTTATCCGCAACTGCGGGGTGCTACGTATTTTGGCACAACTTAGGATCGCCAGAACACAGCAGTCACGTTGCTTCGCGGTGCTGACGTCCCAGGAAGTGTGTTTTGGCGCGCTTGACAATTCTCAAACAGTTGACACCCAATTGTACATTTCCCGCAGTGTAAATAAATTATTATAGGGCTTTTATTCAGAAGGAACTTGGAGTAATGCGTCTTGAGTGTGCACCAGTCCTCCTCTTCCTCCTCCTCTTCCTCCTCCTCCTCTGGGGGAGCAAAAACGTACAAACGCCGCTGCTCCCTGGACCTCACCCAAGGTGCTTTCCGACTCGAATTTCGAACGAATCCGGCCGTGGCGGCGACGCCCTCCCAGGAGGCCAAACAAACTGAAAACAAGGGGGGGCAGCGGGGCAGCAGTATTGGTACCGCTTCCTCCTGTTGCTCCTCTTCTTCCCCCTCTTTTGGGATGCCCGCGCGCACCGCGCCTCCGTCGCACCCGCACTGCGCAGGGGGGCGCGCTTCTCTTCCTCCTCATCCTCCTCCTCCCCCTCTTCCTCTTCCTCTTCCTCTTCCTCCTCCTCCTCCTCGTCCTCCTGTTCCTCCTGTTCCTCCTGTTCCTCCTGTTCCTCCTGTTCCTCCACTTCCTCCTCCCTCTTCCTCCTCCTCCTCCTTCGGGATGCCCGCGCGCAGCGTTCCTCCGTCGCCCGCGCGTTGCGCGGGGGCCGCGCGCGGGGCCAGTCCCTGCGGCTGGAAGCTGCGGTCAGCCGCTGGGGGCGGGCAAGCTGGCGTCGGAGGCGCCCAGGTCTACGTGCAAGGCCTCTGGGTCGTCCTTGTGGCACACTCGAATAAGGATTATCTTGTTGCTGGTGCTGGTGCTGGTCGCCATTGCATTTGGGGGCCGATGGGCGCCTGAAGCAGTTTTTCACTGGGGCCCGCCGCCTTGAACGTTCCTGGAAGGCTCCTTTGAGGAGGCATCCTAATCGCCCCAAGAAGTGCCGTCGCGAGGCGTCGGGCACTGCGGGAAACAAAGAAAAGAAATGGGGCAACGCCGCGAACACTCCTGCACCACGCGCGCGCGGTGCGCCAGAGCGCACTTCGTCAAACCCATAAGGTCAGCTTGTGACTAACCCAAAAAACAAGCGGGGTGCGTTGTTCAAAAATCATCCCCCTGCTCGGGCGAATCGCGGGGGGGGCGGGTCGCCCACCAAGTGGAAACGCATGGCGGCGGCGCCAGTGATTGGCGCCGACGCCGGGCCGACAGCAGGAGGGCGACATGCGCGACGCAAGCGGCGCCGCTTCAGCAAGGGAGAGCAACGCCTCTGCTACAGCGGGGCGGTTGAGCCCAAATGGCTACAGACAGGAGAGACAGAGGAGGCGGGGTCAAGCGGCGCCTCAGCTGGCGGGCGGTGCCGACATGGCTATGAATCTGGCGCGATCCCAATTCGCGAAGCGCTTCCTGAGAGGCGTTGTTTAGAAATGCTTTGCATCGCATTGCTTTATTTGCTTTGTACTGCATTGCTTGGCATTGCTTTGCGTTGCTTGGTGATGCTTGGCATTGCTTGACAATGCTTGGCATTGCTTTGCTCGCTTGGCATTGCTTGGCGCTGCTTGGCGTTTCGTGGTGTTACTTTGCATTGCTTATTTTTGTTTGGCATTGCTCGGCGTTGCTTGGCATTGCTTGGCGTTGCTTGGCATTACTTGGTCTTGCTAGGCATTGCTTGGCGTTGGTTGCTTGGCGTTGCTTGGCATTGTTTGGCGTTGCTTTGCGCTGCTTTGTTCTGCTTGGCGGTGCTTGGCGTTGTTTTACGTAGCCTGGAATTGCCTGGCACTGCTGGGAAACAATACCAACAATCAAGGAACCCGAGAAACACGGGGAACCCGAAAAACCTCCGAGGAACGGGAACGTAACAATAGAAGGCACTGGGGGCGGGGAACCCGACGATCCCGGGGAACCCGAAAACCTCTGGAAAACGAGCAACGGCAGAATATGAGGCATCGGGGGCGGGGAACCCGGGGAAGAAAAGGAATCTCCAGGGAACGGGCAAAGTAAGCTCCCGAGGCGCCAATCTCGAACCAAGTAATAAACCCTTGGGCAAGCCTAGTGGGGGAACAAACAAGAACTGACAAACAAAATACAAGGGGGGGAGAAACGACGAAGGCAGGCGGACAAGGCTCTTGCTTTCCGTTCTCCGCCCCCCCCATCCGCTACAATATCCTACGACGACGACGGCGACGGCGGACGACGACGCACTGCGGATGCTACACGGGGGGGGACGGGGCGCGGGGCCTGCGCATGCCCGCTGTGCTCGTTGACGACGACGACGACGACGAGGGCCATGACGACGACGATGACGACGGCAACGACGACGCACTGCTGCGGATGACCCATGGGGGGGGGGGGGCTGCGTAGGCCCGGTGTAGCCGTCGACGACCCTGACGATGACGGCAACGGCGACGACGACGCCGACGACCACGACGACGACGTCGACGACGGCACGATGATGACACCGCGACCACGACGGCGACGAAGACGCATTGCGGATGCCCTATGGGCCCTATGGGGGGGGGGGGTGAGTAGGCGCGCCGCAATCGTCCACTGGGGCCACGGGGACCACGACCACGAAAATGACGACGTCGACAACTTTGGCGCGTCAGTGGTCAGCCTGAAAAGGGGGAACAACTTCGCCTCGGATGTATACGACCTTATAATCATGTTGGCTGGCGTGGGCCCCAAGCAACAGGATCTTGCAGTCCACGCGGAGTAATCGATGTGGTGCAACGTATATGATCCAACCATGTAAAGCAATATACGTGGTGCAATCTACACGGTGCAACATATGCGGTGCAACCTATGTGGTGCGATTGATTTTCACAAAAAGATTTTACACATTCCATGCTCGTGCAAACATCCCACCCACCCACCCGCAACTTGGTTTGCAAAACCATGCGGTGGCGATTGTGATGCATGTTTGGCGTTGGCTGGTGCATCTTTGCGGCCGCGCCAACCCAATCACGCGCGCGCAGCACCCACCTGGTTTGGCGCGGCCGACGCGGCCGCGGTGGCTGTGACCGCTGGGCACATCCCAGCGGGCACTTCACTGCGAGTCGGCGACTTGGGCGGGCGCGGTATCATGGCAACGTCGACAACCGTAGACACGATGATGCTAGTAGCGATGCTGGTGACGATGTTGACAACGACGACGGCGCGGCAAGTGACGGCGCCGATGCTGATCACGTCGACGACGATGACGGCGTCCTTTGTCGTATGTTCTTTTTGGCACTCGATTTTAAATCCTTACGACACGGGAGGTTTGTAAGGATTTAACATGCGCGAGCGACGACTCGCGTGTGCGCATGTCGTCTCATTTTTTGCAAGGGGTTCTTGACACCTTATGATTGTTGATCAACGAGCGCGCACGCATACTATCTTTTTGCAGAAGATGGCGGGGATGGGCCGATACTGGTTCTCCTGCGATGGTACGAATTCATATTTCGGATAGACGATGGGGCAACACCATATGCAAAATGCAATACGGAAAAAGGGAAGTGATAATCCCGGGGGGGGGGTAGAGTCTACGTGGCGCAATTAATTTTTACCAGCGAATTGACACAGCCCGCGCTCTTGCAAACATCCCACCCACCCATCCGCAACTTTAGTTGCAACACCCATGCGGCGGCGATTGTGATGAGTGCTTGGCGCTGGCTGGTGCATCTCCGCGGCCGCGCCAGCCAGCGCATGCAGGCGCGCGCAACGCCCAGCTAGTTTGGCGCGATGTTGGTGACGATGTTGGCAGCGACGACGGCACGGCCGGTGACGGCGCCGATGCTGATCACGCGGGCGACGATGACGGCGTTCTCGCGTCGGTGATGAAGGTTTTGGAAGGAGTTCTACATGCGCGCGCGGCCGACGCGCGAAAGTGGCCCGCGTGGTATTATTTGACACGGATCGTGCCCCCCCGGCACGCGCGCAAGGGCGTTCGAATGATTTCGGCATGCTGTGCGAGAGGCCCGTTTGCTAGACTCCACAAGGATTCGCCAAAGCGCGAACGCAAGTTCTTGATATATATATATATATATATATATATCCACATGTGTATGTAGACATCGAGTAGATCTATAACAACACAGGTGTTGTAAACCATAGGTTTTATGGTTCTGGGTACTTGCTTGTTAATTCCTTGCGACATCTATGGTTTTTGAAGAGTGTCGGCATGCGCGCGCTGCAGAAAAGGACTCTCGCGAGAGCACGCGCGAAAGAGCGTTCAAACGATTTGGACAAACTCGCGCGCGAAACCCACTTGATAGCATTGTATGTGATTATTGAAAGCTCTGGTTTTCTCAAGAATTCGCAAGATGGCGCGCAAGTTTCTTTTGTAACGTGTTGCGGAACCATTGTTTGATTTTTTTACAACTGATTCTGAACTCTTTACGAAACCTGGCTTGATTTCGGCATGCGCGCGCGACGACGCGCGCGCGTGTGCATTTCGTCCCGTCTTCTGTTGCAAGGGATTGTTGAACACTGACGATTGTTTATGAACGAACGCGCGCGTCATATTTTTGGATGAGGGTGATGGGGGGTGTCGATACCTGCTTGCGTGGAATGGTATGGATTCATACTTTAGATGGACGATGGCAATCCGGATCGGGGTGTGGAGAATCCGAGGGGGGGGGTCGAATCTGTGATTTTCTTTTAACAAAACAGAATATATGCGACGGCGAAGGCGGCGACGGCGACGGCGGCGACGGGCGGCACCGCCCGCAAAAACCGCCATTCGACCCGAGCGGCGGTGACGGCGACGGCGGCGACGGGCGGCACCGCCCGCAGAAGCCGCTACCCGTCCCGAGCGGCGGCGACGGCGACGGCGACGATGGCGGCGACGGCAGCGACGGGCGGCACGGACGGCGACGGCCGCCCCTGGTCCCGAGACGAGCGGCGGCGACGGATAGCGACGGGCGGCGAAAAACTGGCACTGGTCCCCACATGGTTGACACTAATACAAACCCCTCAGTGCAAACTATGTTTGGGGAACTTCTATGCGAAGGCAATCTTTTGAGGCTGACGTGCAAGAGGGTATACAATCCCCTCGGCGGCGCCCGCGACGACCCACTGGCGCGCGTTATAAACAAAAAATGACTCGCGACCGGCGGGACCTATTCATCAGCCCCGGGGGGACATCCTTTCTTAACCACAAGCTGACATTATCACGATCTGGGCAACCTACGTCGAACCAAGTTTCCCCCCCTCGATTCATACAATGTGCGAAAACTCCACTGCGACGAGCGGCGCCCATGTCCTCCCGGCAACCGCGCGGCGGAGTTGCCCGCGGGAGACTGGGGGCCCAACGCAACGCTTGTGTTCTGCCGAAGGGGGGATACAGAAATTTGCCCCTTGCGCGCGTGATTCGGCGCCTTGGCCCCTTGCAGTGTCTGTTTTTTTTCCGACACCCCCTGAAACAACAAATCCCGCATCGCAGGTCTCCGCTTGGCTTTCGAAGGGCCATTGCGGTCTGGTGCGTCCATGGTGTTTCCTCCATTGGCGCGCGAAGTCTCCGCGTGCCTCCGCGTCTGTTCGGCCCTGGTCAGACCCCTCGCGCAGGGTTATGATGCTCCAACCTACTTTAGCCATGCTCATCAGACAGAACTTCGAGAACCAAGGAAGTACCGAAATTCTAATGTTTTCACGTGTCGGGCCCTGGGGGGCGATACTCGTTCGTTACTGTTTCGATACTTTTCTGGGCGTTCGAAACTATTTCTGGGATGTGGTCCTTAAGTACGATGAGAGCAACATAAGCGCAAGGGTCCTCGAGCAGCTGGAGGGTGCCCGACCTC